AGAGAGAGAGAGAGAGAGAGAGAGAGAGAGAGAGAGAGAGAGAGAGATAACACTTACAAAGGTCCTTCAGAAGTTTCCATATGGATTCATTAACAGTGTCGGTATTTGTCTATTCTGTTCATTTCAGACACTGTAAATGAGTAAGTTGAGCTACTGTAGCTTTCATAAATAAACACTCTTCTCTTAATATCATTGTCTTCTTCTCATCTGGCCCGCCCAATTTCTTTGTTGGGTGATATAAACAGGGAAGGTGGAGTAGGGTTTTAATTCTCTTCATTCATTGGAAGAAAGTTTTTTTTTTTCCCCAAAGACATTTTGACAAAAGTTCTCCAGATGTTTCAGAATATTAATAATCTAAAATCTATCTCTACATGAACTTTGAATAACATTTTTACCTACATGTTTATTTCTTCTGTGTCATTACCACATCTGTTTATCTGTCTTGTGATTCTCAAAGGTTATGAATAGTTCCCAATAGTATATATTTCTGAGATACTTTTAGGGGATAGGAATTAAATTCCCAGGGTCATTCTTCTTAGTAAGACCATAGTTCAGATATTCTTAACCTGTGTGTGTGCATGTGTGTGTGTGTGTTAGACACTTTTGACAGCCTGGTGAAGAGTAGCAGAACTCACAAAAGGATAGGGTGAAACAATTTTCTAGCCCAAGACAAGCTAGAAGGTGGGTAGGAAAGGTCTGTCTCATTAGGATGAAAGTGGAGCTCAGTCCAGCACAGGCAATGCCTTGGCAAGCCAGCATGAGGCCTTGGGGACAATCAAATCAGAAGGTGTATCTTCTAGAGCTCTCAGACCATAGATGGTAAAGGGGCCCAACAACTGATCAGAAGGAGATTCCAAGGGTCCCTTTGTTGGCACTGGGTGCAAGATTCTGGTTCATTGTCCATATGTGGATCCAGATCACAGTCCTTCAACAAGGAGGAACACTAAGAAATCTGAAAAGTCAAAAAGGAATCTGACCATAAAATATTATTATGATGACAGGGAAGATCAAATCACAAACTCAGAAGATGACAACAATGTTAAAACACCTATGGACAAAACCCCAAAGGAAAGTAGGAAGTGGTTACAAGCCTAGAAAGAATTCATGAAAGGGCTCAGAAAGGAGCTTAAAATCAGAGAAAAGAGGTAGGAGAAGCACTGGGAAAAGAAATGACAATGAAGCAAGAGAATGATGAAAAAAGAGTCAACAGTTTGGAAAGCTGCTTAAAAAGTAGAATTAGTCAAATGGAAAAGGAAATTCAAAAATCCACTGAAGAAAACAACTGCTTAAAGAGTAAAATTGGCCAAATGGAAAAGAAAGTACAAAAGCTAATTGAGGAAAACAACACCTTCAAAGGTAGAATTGGGCAAGTGGAAGGCAATGACTCTATGAGACATTATGAATCAAACAAACAAATTCAAAAGAATGAATGTGAAGAAAATGTAAAATACCTCATGGGAAAAACAACTAACCTGGAAGATAGATCCAGGAGACACAATATCAGAATCATTATTCTACCAAAAACCATAATTAAGAAATTATCAAGGAAAATTGCCCTGATGTTCTGGAATCAGAGGGCAAAATAGACATTGAAAGAATGCATTGATCACCTCTGGAAAGAGATCCCAAAATAAAAACCCCAAAGAACATTATAGCCAACTTTCAGAACTATCAGGTCAAGGAAAAAATACTACAAGTAGCCAGAAAGAAACAATTCAAATATCAGTGAGTAACAATCAGGATTACATAGGACTTGGCAGCTGCAACATTAAAGTATCAGAGGTCATGGAACATAATATTCTGGAGGGAAAAGGAACTAGCACTACAATCAAGAATCACGTACCCAGCAAAATTAAGCATAACACATTGAGGGGGAAATCTGTCATTCAACTAAATAGAAGGATTTCAAGCCTTCATAA